AAATCATCTCTATGGTGCATTTATTACAGTACCATCAGCATACACAAAGTGAAGCAGAACAGGAGAGAGAGAAGGAAGACAAACATTACAAGCAGGGCCCTTTTTGCTTAATTTCTGAGTTTAAACCACTAGTCTAATTATATTCTGATCTACTCATTTTGCACGTGTAACTTTCTAAAACACAGTGCAGGTAAATTAGGCCAATAAAATTTTAAGGTTTTCTGATGTATTTGTTTTGGTGGGTGAGACAGAAAGAGATTTGGCAAGAAGCAAGGGAAAGAAGGAAGGAAACTCAGCAGAAAACAGGGAGGAGGTGTAAAAGACAGGACGTGAGTAATACCAGAGTCTAGCACAGTACAGATCAAATGTTTCAAGTTGAAGACACTGGTTTTCTACTGCTTGACAACCGGGAAAACTGGAAGAGCATTTATCTGAATTTTAACAGATGTGCACAAGCAGTTTTTAAACCTTACAGAAACAAGGTCACAAAGATGACTGGCTTTATCTTAAAAATATTGCATCATGAAGTCTAAAGTGTTCATACATAACACATTTTAGGGAACGTTACAGGTGGTTGAACGTTGCCAAGAGCAGCAGAACAGGACAGACACCTGCAAGCCCAGCTCCAGGGCCCAGCTGTGGTGGGGGGCCCAGCACCACGGGCAGCCCCACCCGGGCCCTTCCTATCCCTGGCTGCTATGCAACCCGGCCCGTCCATCCAGAGCCACAAACCACCTGGTGACAAGCCAGGACCCCTGCCTGACACATCCCAGAGCCTACAGACACGCACCTGAGGAGCGGTGGCCCGCTATGAAGGAAGGGGTGTAGAGGACCACCTGCACGGGAGGCCCACCGCCACAGCACCAGAGTGACGCATTGGGCCAAACCCTGGAGGTCTTAAACGAAGAGAAAACCAAAACCAAACCAAGACTTTTGTGTCTGCTCCAACTGCTAACAGGTGACAGGTTTTTAAAATTAATTTTCTAGACTGGCAGCATCAGCCAGTACGTGGCCCATATGCTGAGGTGCAGACAAAGTGCCTCTGGGACTGTCACTTGCTAGCACCGCTCCACGCCAGTTAAAGCTCTGCCAGCCCCTAAATTACACTTTTCTTGCAAATCCCTCTTTCACCAAACAGACAAATCCTCTACCTTGCACACTGCTGAGTACCCACGCAGCACACCACCGCACAGAGGGAGCTCAACTCCTCTAACCACACACCTGGCAGCCACACACTGACACGAACCCGGAGGGGGCGTTTCGCTTGCTTATTGTACCTGGTTTTCGCCCTTCTCCCCGCTGCAATCACCCGCACCGCTGGGGGCTCGCAGGCTTTAGGCGGTCACGCAGGTGATCTGGCTCGCCCCGCTCGGCTCGCGGGACGGGAGGAAACAGC